AAGGGTGATGACGCCTTAGGAAACTCCTTGGTTACCTTCACCAATGAAAATGACAACAAATTACAAATAAATATTCTAGCTTGGCATGAGTGACTTATGGCATGGGAGCAAAAATTATCATGAGTTTAGCACTTTAGGAGAGAGAGATCTGTGGGTTCCTATGAGGTACAGAGGTTCTAATGGAGAGGGAGAGAGGCTCTAAGGAGCTTTGATGAAGAGGGAGAAGGATGGTGAAGAGTTTTGGGTGACTTTCGCAGTTTCCGGCAGCTTGACAGTGACTCTGTCAAAGCTTCTGTCAATCTGCCAAAACAGGGGAAATAAAGGAAAATGAGGAAGGATAGCACGAAAATTCCTGGGTTTGCATGTGAGAGAGAAAAGCTTGCTCTCTGAAGGTTGTGGGTTGTGTTGTGTTGGGTAGAAGGGGTCCTATTTATAGCTGTTGGGAATGGGTCTTCTCCAAGAAACCCTAATGGTTTCTTTCCAATCTAGCTAAGCTTTCCTCTTCCTTTCTTCTCCTCTTGCTTGACTTACCTCATGGAGGCAAAAATCAGTTCTGCCCAATCCCACAAAATCAGGGATTTTTGGGAGCTCGAGGCTTCAACAGCTTCAGAGGAGAGCTTCCATTTTCACCCATCTTCTTTCTCTTCTTTCCTTCTCTTTTCACGGCCAAATCTGATGAAGGAAAGAAAATGGGTGCGCCTGCTGGTTTAAGGGATAGCATCTTCCCCTGCGTGCTAATACCCCTTGGTTTCTTGAATGCTTGCACTTGGAACTTGTTCCCCAGCAGCCCTCACATGTGAATCTCTGGCTTTCTTCGTGGACTTCTGCTTCAGCCAAGTGCTGAAGGCCTTGGACTCCTTTTATTCAAATGGTATGGGCCCTTTAATATAGAAGGCCAAGTCTAATAAGTGGGTTAAATTCACCAAGTATTTGGGTTTATGGGCTATCTAAAGTAATGGGGTTTTAAAAAAAAAAAAAAAAAAAAAAAAAAAAAAAAAAAAAAAAAAAAAAAAAAAAAAAAAAAAAAAAAAAAAAAAAAAAAAAAAAAAAAAAAAAAAAAAAAAAAAAAAAAAAAAAAAAAAAAAAAAAAAAAAAAAAAAAAAAAAAAAAAAAAAAAAAAAAAAAAAAAAAAAAAAAAAAAAAAAAAAAAAAAAAAAAAAAAAAAAAAAAAAAAAAAAAAAAAAAAAAAAAAAAAAAAAAAAAAAAAAAAAAAAAAAAAAAAAAAAAAAAAAAAAAAAAAAAAAAAAAAAAAAAAAAAAAAAAAAAAAAAAAAAAAAAAAAAAAAAAAAAAAAAAAAAAAAAAAAAAAAAAAAAAAAAAAAAAAAAAAAAAAAAAAAAAAAAAAAAAAAAAAAGATGGAATCTACTTTTTCGAGTTTTCAGAGCAATAATAGAACCATAGCAAGATTTCTAAGCAATAATTGATCATCTCTCTCTTCCAGTACATCTGAGCTGAACCATAGCAAGATTTCTAAGCAATAATCGAATCTTATCTTCTCACATGTATTTTGATTTTTATACATGGGCAAGGAGTTTCTAATTCAAGGAATTTCTAATTCAAGTGATTAAGAGTATTTGTCAGGAATTTCTAATTCAAGTGATTAAGAGCATTTACCAATGCATTTTAGATTGTAGGTTCGATTCTTCTTTATTTTAATATTACTTTGGATTAAAATAATAAAAGAATAATAAAAGATTCTTATGCTTGCTCTGTTACGGTTCTTATATACACCATACTAAGTATTGAGTCTCCTCCTCATATGTCTTGTATCTTCTTGTGGTGTTGTTCTTATGAGAGTTAATGGGTGTGATCAATTTCTTCATATTTTCTTCATCTAATAACAGTTCTATGACTTGCTCTTGTAGGACAAAGACTATTTTCTAACCTTCCATGGCAAAGCGACAAATATTTTCCTATATATACACGTATTGAAGTTAATTTGTTTAATAAGTACCTTACTCAATATGTGGTTGCTTACGTGTTGGACTTGAATGTTTGGCTTCGATATGGACTTGACTTCACGTGTGGCCTATTATGTGGTGGTCTCATGTGAGGGGGCGTGTTGATGAATATAAATCTCACATTAGAAACTTGACAAAATAAATTACAACTTATAATAAGTAATTCCACCACTAATTGCACCTAGGCCTTTTGAAAATAGAGTGCAAGTTGGAAAATTAGTAAAATTAGTATAAAGAAAAAAAAATCATATAAAAGTAAAGTGAAAAGAAATTAATGCAAAGTAAAAGTAGAATAGTGGGGAAAAAAAAAGTAGAATAAGAACGAGAAAGAAAAAAACTTATTAAAAAATGTTATAAAAAAAAAAGTGCAAGTTCTTTAAAAAAAGAAAAAAGAAAAAGAAAAAGGGAAACACATGCACGCCCAAAAAAAGAAAGAAATCATTAAGAGGGGTACAACGTATGCGTGGGTAAGGTTGTGTGTTACAGAGGTAGCAAAAGTGTGTGTGTTGGGTAGCGGAAAGAGAAAAAATAATCTAAAAACCTTACGATAATTATAGAGATGTTGTGTCATGATTACAAGGGTATTAGAGACAATTTTAGAAATAAATAGGGAGCTTTAGTAATATACCCAAAATAGGACATGAAATTATAAAAAAACCCTATATGGAATAGACTTTAGAAACACACCCAAAAACCATTTACTATCTAAAAAATGAGTGTTAAAGTTCCTATAAATTACATCTCTGCCATTTATTAACTTAAAACAAGCCCAATACAAAAAACTCAAAAAAAACCCAAAATAAGCCCAGCAAGCCCGAAATACATTGTTAATACCATGTCATAGAAGTGTATTGTTAATACCATGTCATAAAAAGTACATTGTTAGTACCATGTCATAGAAGTGTATTGTTAATACCATGTCATAAAAATACATTGTTAATATCATGTCATAAAAATACAATGTTAATATCATTTCATAGAAAAACATTGTTAATACCATTTCATACAAAAAAAGTAAAAAAAAACCCAAAAAAGCCCAGCAAAATATCTGATATCCTTTGCAAAAACCACCTTCAAATGTCCATAGTTTCACCAGAAGCAATCGCAAAGGCCCTCTACAAAAAGAAAAAAAAAGTATATTGTTAATACTGTGTCATAGAACTATCTTCCTAGTGAAAATCATATTATGCATATCATAAACTTCAAGTGCACAGCTATATGAGCAAAATATAGAGCATGCTTTGCTACTGAAAATCTGTTAATACTATGTCATAGAAGTACACTGTTAATACTATGTCATAGAAATCAACTCAATTACAGGGTATGAACAGTATAACAACTATTCATACCACTTACTGGAAGCTAACAGCTATATTTCATTTGCATAATAGGTACGATAAAAATGTATAACTGCAAAAACCCCATGTTCATAAACCAGCAACCTTGAAAACATAACGGAAAACACAACATTTTGGAACAAACCTAGGAACCCAGAGCAAAAACCTCATGTTCATAAACCAGCAACCTTGAAAACATAACGGAAAACACAACATTTTGGAACAAACCTAGGAACCCAGAGCAAAAACCCCATGTTCGTAAAGCAACAACCTTGAAATACAACTGAAATTGAAAGAACAAGTGTTGTAGGTGAACTGTTCTGGCAACAAGTTGCTGCCAAAACTGCCATGACAGAAACAAACACTATGAGCTGCAGTTGCCAATGCTTTGATTTTCTTTTCATTTTTTGCCACTGATAAAAAATATTAAATGTCTTCTTCCTTGCTAACTAATGGCAACAAACTTTATACTGAGCAAACCCCTTTGCAGTTTCCTTGGATATGGTTACTAATTAAGATTAGTAAATTTGATGTGACACAAAAACAAATGGATATTGCTGGCTAGAAAACCGAGCATAGTGAGAGACAAACAAAATTTGAAAAGGGAATTTTGCATTCCATTATCAGAACAGAAACCATTAAATCAATACTCTAATTTTCTACCACATCAGATAATTTGTCTGAAATTACTTATGCTTTTTTTTTCTTCTTGTTGGGCTTTTTTGGGTTCTTCTGAGGCATGCATGCAAATACTCTCTTCTGTAAAATAGATGCTAAGATTTTAACCTTGCCTCCTCTGCTTTAGAGAGTTGGTGTATAGATTATGAAAAAAAGGGGGGGGGAAAGGAAGAAGATTGGAGAGTGAGAAAGAGAAAACAATTGTTATCAACTCCAAAGAATCTTGAGCAGATAATAAAATTGCTCAGAAAGTGGTCCTATGATATTCTTAAGCCTAAAAGCATTTAAGAAAAAAGTTTACTTTGCACCTCAATTGCACAAGCCAACAACTACTGTTAAATTTGCTTCCTCGATGAACTGTTAGGAAAAAGGAAAAAAACAATGAGCATTCTATGGTTTAGCTAACAATTACAAACACAATTTCCATAAATCCTACACAAGAACAGTCATAAACGATTTATGGTAATTTTATTTAATAAAATGAATTAATATGATATAATCTGGCATTGAACGATAGCTAGCGACCATGCGATTTCAATAGCACAATCCTAATTATGCTGAGAGATGAAACTTCTCCAATCAAACTCTTATAAGCAAGCATAGAAATCGATATCTTCATTGACGGAAAATGAGCAAGAAAATTAGGAGGAAAATTTGAAGGAAAAAAAAAATTACGAACCCGGAAGTGGAGCTTGGCTCAGATTTGGGAGCTAGAACATATGCTACTAGCATTCCAACAACCCTGAATAGAGTCTGAAACGAACATACCAAGCATGCTGTCAAAGTCAAATGGTAACTTATCGCTAAAAATTCCCGAAACTCCTTACAATACCTATATCAACATATTCAGACTAACAACGGGAGTAATTTTTGGCCTTGGACCTCGGCCAAAAAGTGGCCAATCCAGAACACTGCCAAAGCCGTCGGTCAAACTAGGGTGTATTGATTAATTTCCAAAACTCCAAAATCTATCTTAACCACATGCATAAACAGTTAGAGCACGAAAAGTAGATGAAGTTTCATACCTCGATTGACGGAAACAACTGCCGGAATTGCCGGAAACGACGTCGGAAAACTTGAAATCCACAGACATTTCTGAGCTCGCAGCGGCGTCGTGAGTGGCTGATGTGGCTGGGCTTTAGCCCAGACTTGATCGTCGGCCCTGGCCGATCCTTTTCCGACCGCTCTCACTGCTGGGCGTGGCCGGAGCACCAATATCGCTCTGCAAAGGGAGAGAGACGAGAGAGGGACGAGAGAGAGAGAGAGAGAGAGAGAGAGAGAGAGAGAGAGAGCCCAAAATTTTTTCAAAATTTTTTCAAAAAACTAATTTAATACTAAATGGGTAATAAAGGTATTTCATTTAAGTAATTAAACTAAAAAATGTAACAGCTATCAGTTTTGGGTATTTTTTGGGTGTGTTTCTATGTTTTAAATAGTGTAGGGTATATTTATAGTTTCATGTCTAGAATTGGGTTTTTCACTAATTTTGTAAAATAAATAACCATCAGCTTTATTGAAAAAAGGACCGTGCTGAACATACCGTGAAGTAAAATTTCAAAATTTCAAAATTCTGTCCTTAATCAAGTGGGCTCTCATTCTGGAGTTATTAATCATTTTCTCACTCCGTATTCCGGCATTTTATTTGTTTACAATAAAAGGATGAAAAAAGATCCTTTCAAAATTCAAATCTGAAAATCTAGGGGCAAAATTATCCAAGTAAGCAAAAATTTCTCTATCCAAAAGAAATTTTGGGACAGGTCGTTATATTTTACACGTATTTAAGGTCGTTTGGTGACGTTTGTCTAACCGGCCAATACACGCCTTTTGACTCCATAATAGCTCCCATTAACGCCTGAGTGCCCATAATCACAGCTTCAATCAGCGCTTTTTACACATTATGAAGTATAATTATCCTTAAGTAAGCGCATATTGTGGACAAACATTTACTCAATTAGATCTACACTTCCAAGAGCCCAAAGTTTCTTTTCTTTTTTCTTTTGAAATAAGTCAGAATACCTTCAAGAAAGGAAAAAAAAGAAAAACCAATATTGCATCATGTGCATGCCCATCTTGCACGTATAGAAATACCACTATCATCGTGTTTTTGATGTTTTATATTTTTAATGCGCACAAAAAAGAAAGTTCGCATTAAAATATTTTAGTGTTTATTGTTAAAATGTGGGCCTTGTATTGTTAGTTTAGTTGAATTAAATTGCTATATTTCAGCAAAAAAAAACATGTGCAGAAAAATTAATTTTAAAAAATAAATAAAAACACATTAGATGGAAGAGGGAAGGGGATGGTATTGTCCTCACCTCCATCTCCGGTATGAAATTTTGGGGAATCCCCATTCCCATACCCATCGAGGGATTATATTCCAAACCAGGCCTGAATATATTTAAAAAATATTAAAACTATCCATATTACACTTCACTTTCACCTTAAACTATCATTCAACTTAATTAAATTCAATTGAACTATAAAATTTCACTCAACTACTCAAATTCATTTTAATTCAATTTGACAAAAATAATAAAATCATATAATTTTCTTTAAAAAAAAATGGGGTAAAAATTAATGAAACTAATACAACATATTGTTTTCATCCACAATTCATCATCAAGATGAATATCCTCACTCAATGGAAAACGAAAAAAACTTGCGCAAGAAAAGGATATGTGGGTGTACCGTGTACAGTATACATACAGCTACTAAATCACAGCGGCCATGCTACTTTAATAGAGTAATCTAAATTTATTTAATATTATTTAATTAGTTATTTATACATTAAATTTTTTAATTGTTATATTATATTATGTTATATATATTTATTAATTCAAATTAAATATATCATTTATTGGGCACAACATGATGAGGGACTTGTGATCACAACATGATGAAAGCAGGCCCACTTTTTCAGCAATAATAAAACCAATAACTTCTGATCATCTCTCTCTTCTAGCAGTAATAAATATATCATTTATTGCCGTACCCGATTTCTGTACATCTGGGCCCCAACCCACCACCACACAATGGAATCTTATCTTCTCATGTATTTTGATTTTTAAATTCTGTGTTACATCCGGTTGATTGCTCCCAAGAATCAATTCTAGATGTGTTGTTATGATATACCAAAATAAGGCCATAATGGCGTCCGTTTCAGCAGACCTCTTCATTGACAAATATGTAGAGACTACAATGTTGAGAGTTTCACTAAAACACCCAAAATGGGGGCTGAAATTATAAAAAAACCCAACACCCAAAACACTTTATAAACACACCCAAAACACATCATTACACACACTCAAAACCCATTTATAAACACACCCAAAAAATATACAATTGTTGATTTTGGGGTTGATTTTGGGTGTGTTTCTATGTTTAAATAGTGCTTGGATTTTTTTATAAATACATGTCTAGAATTGGGTTTATTTATAAATTTGTACCCAAAGTATCAAGAATTAATGATGCATATATTTCTTCCTATTGTTCTTGATTTCATATTTTAGTTTGCCTTTCGTTTAATCGACATATATAAGGTGATGATGATGTACCATTTTCTCTTTTTGCTTAAGATTGTAATTTGTTGATAAAGTGAAACGATGAACGGAAATCAAATTTGTAGAAGCAAATGGGCGAATGCGTTTTTGGTAGAAAATGAAAAGGATGGACAAAGGCATTGCTTACGTGTCCATCGGATTGTTTGGTGGACTGCTATTGAGGAGCCAAAATTGACGTCCTTCATCCATTGTATCTTAATGAAAATTGACCTATATCTAAGAACCCTTAAAGATTATTAATAAAAGAAATGAAAGAAAGAGAGGAGCTTGATGAGGAGGAAGACGAGAGAGGCTCTAAATTCTTCAACAGGAAGAGAAGTTTCTTTTATGAAGTTGAAAGCATTGCTCAAGATGTAATTGAGAGCTTGTGAATATGGTATTTTGTATAGGATGTTGAGGGATTAAGTGGGTAATTGGTAGATTTTGGGCTCTGGACAGCTATTGCTAAGCTCCATGGATAAGTTGGTGTACTGCCTTTGAATTCTTTAGGACCCTAAAAAGAACAATTTCCAGCAATTTATGGGTTCGTTGTATTGTAGCTATTAAGTAATTCGTTTATTTGGTAAAATATATAGTTTCATCTCTGAGGTTTTTTTTTATTTGGTGCACATTTCTGAGTTCTTTTGATTCCTATTCAATTGGGTATAATTGTATCTTTTTGGAATTTGACATTTTTTTTGTGTGCCCGAAATCAGGTTTAATTGTGAACATCCAATTAAAAACCAATTAATAATGAGGGAACAGCGTCCATATGTTAGCTGTTAATTTGTTTTTTCTTTTGTTGGCATTACCTGTTTAACCAATATTATATGTGGAGTAATCGATTCGGGTAACTTATTATATGCTAGAAAGTTGACTCACCTATCACAGCACATGGACTGCACATCCTCACAATCTCTCTCTCTCTCTCTCTCCCCTTCTCTAGTGCATCAGAGCCCAACCATGGCAGAATGCTTTTTCGAAAATGCATATACCATTCATTGCTCCCCAGATTCAATTTCAGATATGTTCTTTTGATTAAGGTTATACCAAAACAAGGCCATTATGGCGTCTGCTGCAACAGACCTCTTCCTTGGCAAATTTGTTGCCATTCTAGAGAGTGAAGCAGCCTCCATAGCGGGTGTTCGTGATCAAGTTGATGAGATTAAGCAGGAGCTTGTATTCATGAAATCCTTCTTAGAAGATGCTGACGGCGGAGAGCAGGCACACACACAAGTAGAGAAAGCGTGGGTCGCAAGCGTTCGAGACTTGGCCACTGATGTTGAAAACACCATTGATGAGTTCATGTATCACGTGTACGAGCAACGAAATGGCAGACGATTTGCCAGGGGGATCCACAAAACCATTCACTTTCCAAAGCACCTTTGGTATAAGCGTCGAATAGCCAACAAGTTACAGAAAATCACAATGGCGATTAGAGCTATTCCAGAGAGAAATCAGAGATATCGTGGTGCTGCAGCTGTAGAAGTAAAAAGTACTTCTGAGGATATTCGAAGATGGGTGCAGAACCAAGCGGAGTCTTCTATTTATCATCAGGAGGATGAACTTGTCGGGATTGAAGGCGATAAGAACATGTTACTGCAATGGCTGATGGATAAAGCGAAGCACCAAACTGTTGTGTCCGTGGTAGGGATGGGAGGATCAGGGAAGACAACTTTAGTTGCAAGGACCTTCAAAGATGACATTGTGAAGAGACATTTCGAATGCTATGCGTGGATTACTGTTTCCCAGTCTTATGTGATTGAAGACTTACTTAGAAGATTGATCAAAGAATTCCACAAAGCAAAGAAGGAAGAAGTCCCTGCAGGCATGAATGCCATGAGTTATAACGAATTGCTGGAGATTTTGGTGAACTACTTGGAGACTAAAAGGTACCTAGTTGTATTGGATGACGTGTGGGATGTCCACCTTTGGGAGAAATTAAGGTTTTCATTTCCAGATAAACAACTTGGAAGTCGAGTCATGCTTACAACTCGAAGAGAAGACATAGCATCCTCTTCTTTTGGAGTTGAAAGCCATGTTCACAAGATTCAACCGTTGGAAAGGGGTGATGCGTGGGAGCTCTTCAGCATGAAAGCATTCTCAAGTTATCAGAACAAATCTTGTTCACCTGAACTTCTGCCTTTAGCTCGGGAACTTGTGGAAAAGTGTGAAGGCCTACCACTAGCGATTGTTGCCTTAAGTGGTCTCATGTCTTCTAAGAAGTCACTTACAGAATGGAGCACAGTCTACAACAGCTTAAATTGGCATCTAACAAACAATTCTTTGTTAGAACCTATGAAGATGCGCATCTTGTTGTTTAGTTTTAATGATTTGCCATACCGACTGAAGCAATGCTTTCTATATTGTTCCCTTTTCCCTGAAGATTATGTGATCATAAATAATAGGCTCATTAGATTGTGGATCGCTGAAGGATTTGTTGAACATGTCGAAGGGCTCACGCCAGAAGAAGTTGCAAAGAGCTATCTTATGGAACTCATTTTTCGTAACATGCTACAGCAAAGGTTTCGAGGATCCCTCCCATCATGTAAGA